ACATGATATGGTTTCGTATTGACTTGATATAGTTTTGTCATTACTTAATATGGTTTTGTCATTACTCGATGTGGTTTCAACATTATTTAATTTGGTTGTGTCATTAGGCAATGTGGTTTTAACATTACTTGATGTGTATGTGACTTAACGTTATGTAGTTGTTTCATTACATGATGTGGTTTTGTTATTTCGTAATGATGATTTGTCAATTCTTTATATAGCTTTAACATTACGTAATGATGTTTCAAAATTTGACGATTTTACACTACATGATGTGTTTATTTCAGTATTTGGCGTGGTCATGTCATTCTTTGATGTGGTTATCCCATTACTACTACGAGGTAAAACCACGTGACCATTTTGGAAAAAAATATGTTCTATTTTTAGACCGATTTTTTATATGTCGTTTGTGCAATGCGCTTTGGATGAGTACCGCTATCCGTTAAGTTAAAGTTCAAATTAAAGTTCAAGTTGTTGTTCAGAGTTATTTGGTATGAAAAAGAGGAACGGCAGACAAAAATAAGAAAAAAAGTACTAAAAAATTAACAGTAATTCGGACATAAGGGGGACATCCCCAAACCATTTGGTCCTGCCGTGTTTTCCTTAATTCTCAAATGGAAGCTGTAAATTAATAAATAAATTAAAGATTCTTATTAACCCTGTGTCGCGCCTGATAATTCTGCTGTCAGTGTAAAAGCGTAATGTTGACTGACTGTACATTAACCGGTACACTTAACGGGGAAAAATGTTTTTCTGTAGATGCTTTTATCTTGATCTTGAAGAATAACTCCTATACAAGTTTTATAACAATTCATGAAGGTTTACAAATTTATCATGTCAAACAGTTTAATTTGGTAATATTTAATGCATTTAAAAAAAAAGAAATGTGCTATGATTGCCAATGAGACAACTCTCAACCACATACCAAGTTTCGAGTTGAACTTCGAGTTTGGGTCACATTTAAAGATAGAGTTCCGAATTACAATTCGACTTCAACTTTGAATTTGAGTCACCTTTTGACGTAGAGTTCGAGGTAAACCCTTATTTGAGTCTCATTTAGATTAAGATTAAGAGTTGAAATTCGAGTTATCTAATATGAGTTCTATTTTTTTATCGCGGATCAAGGGCTTTTGCTCGAGCTTCCGAAAAGAGGTTTCAAGGGTAGGTATGCGTTCAAAAGATAAACAATTTTACAGCATACAAAACACAAGATAGAAATTGAAATAAAGTTAAATGTGGTGTGATTGCCAATGAGAAAATTATCCACCATAGTTTAAATGCAGTGGATGCAAGCAATCATAGTTAACCGAACAGCCTTCAACACACCGTATAGTCGGCCACAAAAGACCATCACTTGAAAATGTGAAGTAATTCTAATGAGAAAACTAACGGTCTAATTTATAGCTAAACAATCTACGAAAAACAATTATGACACACATGAAACAACGACAACCATTGAACTACAGGCTCCTGGCTTGGGGCAGGCATTTAAAGAAAGTGCACGTGGCAGAGTTTAACATGTATGTCAGCTCTAAACCCTAACCTAACCTAGTGTATAATAGCACAGCATAAGAAGAAAATGCAATGACAGTTTTTATTGGCTCAACTCCATAGATCAGTATGACTGGGTAACATAAATCCATCAACGTGATCTCGGGTGCTTTGGAAGGGTAAGCGGATTCTGTTCAACTTGTGGCACCCGTCGTGTTATTCGTGAAAGTACAAACCCAGTGATTTGGTTTTTTTTTTTGGTAGTTTACATTCGAGGAAAAGATGACGGGATTGTGGTTACGACAACTGGAACCTATCCGTCGACACCTGTGAAACAGATGTATTTCATTTTTTTTTTCAATTAGTGCGTGGTATATCAGAAACTGCAATTAATAAAAATAAAAGTTTAATATTCATATGTTCAAATGAACATACACGTTAAAAAAAAACCCGGAGAATTCTTATTTTACAGAATTGATGCTTTGTCGCTTAGTCCCCCACCCCTCCTCCTAAAGACCATACAGTCACACATATATATTAACTTCTACGCCATTTGGTATGTGGTTGAGAGTTGTCTCATTGGCAATCATACCACATTTTTTTTTATTTCTATATGAGTTTTTTTTTTTTGCATTGAATATTACCGAATTAAACTATTTTGACATGATAAATTTGTAAACCTCCATGAATTGTTATAAAACTTGTATAGGAGTTATTCTTCAAGACCAAGATAAAGCAGTGTTCCTTGGAATCATTTACGAACTCATTATAATACTGCTTCCATTTGAGAAGTAAGGAAAAACCGGCAAGTGGTTTTGGGATATCCCCCTTATGTCCGAATTGCTGTAAATGTTTTAGTACTTTTTTCTTAATTTTGTCTGTCGTTCCCCTTTTTCATACCAAATTACTATGAGCAACAATTTGAACTTTAATTTGAACTTTAACTTAATGGATAGCGGTACTCATCCAAAGCGCATTACAAAAACAACATATGGAAATTGGTCTAAAAATAGAACATATTTTTTTCCAAAATGGTCACGTGGTTTTACCTCGTAGTAGTAATGGGATAACCACATCAAAGATGACATGACCACATCAAATACTGAAACAAACACATCATGTAGTGTAAAATCGTCAAATTTTGAAACATCATTACGTAATGTCAAAGCCATATAAAGAATTGACAAATCATCATTACGAAATAACAAAACCACATCATGTAATGAAACAACTACATTACGTTAAGTAACATACACATCAAGTAATGTTAAAACCACATTGCCTAATGACACAACCACATTAAATAATGGTGAAACCACATCGAGTAATGACAAAACCATATTAAGTAATGACAAAACTATATCAAGTCAATACGAAACCATATCATGTAAAATCGGAATATCATTAAGTAATGACTATTCCATATTGAGTTATTACAAAACATCATTACGTAATGTCAAAACCATATTATGTAAAGACAAACTATCACCAAGTAATAATAGAACAACATAACGTTATATCAGAGTTCCACATAAGACAGCTGTGGCGTTCCATAAATTTCTTACACATCCATACATTTACAGTAAAGTTATTGTCTGCGAACTAATTTATTTCCCATGAACCAGTAAAATTAACCTTTTTTTGCCCCATAATTACAAAACAAAAGTGACAATAGCCCCCATAAACAGTCCCAACCATCCTTTAGTGGTATGGAACTGTGTGCTAAAATTTCATAGTAATCCATAAACTTATACTCAAGTTATTGTCTTCGAACCAAAATGTCTTCAGATGCAGACCACAGACAACACCATAACAAAATAAAAATCACTTGATATAAAAAATCCTATGCATTGTTTTAGCAGTCAAAGAATCATGAAAATGATGTAAGAAATTGCCGACATAAACGCCACACGCAAACTTTAGATCCTGAGTCATCTGTTTATGTAGCGGACCAAGTTTGAACTGATTGTGTTTAGTAGTACTAGACAAATGTATGACGTAATTTTTAAGCTCTTTCAATATATACTCAAAATTTAAGCAATTATGAAGTATGAGTATTACATGTTTTAACAAGGTGCATCGACAAACACGGAATACCTGAGAAAAGTTTGACAGACATATGTTTTTGACGAAAAACTTACAATTGACCAGGTGACGTTATATATCACCCACACCTATAATCAGCACTCTTTAGAATATTTGGGAGTAGAAAATGTAGACAAAAAAGATTAATCTATAAAAATTACAATGAAATCTTTTGGATTTTTACCGCTGATAACAGATGCAATTGCATCTTTCTTCTAATATACGAAGAAATATCTGAAACGCAGATACAACATACTCCTGTAAATGTTAGAACATTACCGATTAGGAATGATGTAAACTTTAACATGAATAACCTTCAGTTTGATTGCATGACAATTTATCTAAGAAATGGAAAACTGAATAGCAACTTTAACATTTACCATATGTATATGTGCATTAGAGTTGTTAACTTTTGTGAGTGCTTGATTTGAAAAACAAGCCTCATATAACACCAATGCAGTCTTAACATAAACCCTTCGGCTTATGCACAATCGACTGAAAGGTTCCCAATTCCAGTAAGTTTTCCTGAAAAAAAGGAATAGTGGCTATGGTTAAAAAAATTATTTTGACATTTAGAAATAAAATACAAATAATCTGATGTTAAGAAAATGGAAACGACTTATAGGCAGCATTATTCTATATAATTTATAATCACTTATCACATGCATTCCTCAGATTTGTGTCTTAAAAAAAATCAAGAATGAAGTGCTCCAAATATTTTTTGCTGGCCAATTCTTTAAAAATGCATTATATTTCCAACGCTTTTTTTAAAATTTTTGAAAACACATTAAAAGCTGTTTGAAGAAATACTATAAAAAAAAAGATAAGCAGATGTGGCGTGTTTCCTTGAGTCACAACATTTTGTATATGTTGAGCTAAAAGAACAACAGTAAGTAATTTTTTTAGCAATTTGTTACTGATTTCGTTAAAAAAAAGTTTCGTATAGTTCAGATGGATAATATAATGATATAAAAAATGTTCGCTCCTCTTGTTTTTGAATTTTCACCAGATATTCGGAATCCTCTGGTTTTATTTATGTAGTGCCTTTAAAATTATTTACCCGCTAACCCCTACTTTTCTTTTCATAATTTTATTACATATCGTTTAAAAACCATTTTTGAAAATGCTATAAAATCCTTGTTATTTTTTCATAATTTTTTTAAAGAAAAAAGGTGTCAATGTTAAATATATGATAAGCCTAGAGAGACATTTTTTCCCGCCAAACTTTCAATGGCTTATATCTCGAAAACAAGCAGACGGACCCTTCATTTTTGTCTGCTTATTAAGTTTCTTTATTTATATACTGTCAATTTATAACAGTCTTTTACAAAAAGATTGTTATTTTTAAACAGAGTAGCGAACATCCTTAACAATACTACCGGTTTTTTTTGTCTAAATTTTAAGCATCATACTAGTATATATACCTTTTAATAAGCATACCCGGAGGTCTTCTGTTGGGATGGTGTACTCGTGTATTAATTTACATTTTACTATCACTTTCTCATTGCACTGTAGTCTGTCGGAAGATTGGTGGTGCAAAATTACCTCATAATAGTTTCCAAAGCTTTTAGATGATGTTATATTGAAAACAAATCTTGAACCCTGAAATATAAGAAATACTAATTTCAAAATATACATAAATGCATTTTTGGTCGGAATAACAAGAATTAAGTTTTCATCGCAGCAACATACTGCTTTTTGAAATATGTATGATGATCTTAACGAAAATCATGTTGTATATGTATATGTTGTGTACAAGTTATCATTTTGTACAAATTATAACTTGTACAAAAAAAATTGTACAAATTATTTTTGACTTTTTACAAATTGTAATTTATACAAAAAATGCTTGTACAAATTACAATTTGTAAAAAAAATGACTAAAATTCACTTATAACTTGTACAAAAAACATTAATACAAACTATAGAATTTTTATTCAATTACCCCACAATAAACCTTATATTCAAAATACAAAAATAGTTTTATATCATTTGTTTGAGCATGTCAGGGAATTATGGCATCGGGAATTGCACAACATCTTTTGCTTTTTACATCTACATTAAGAAGAGTTTAAACCCCTTTTGCATTTACATGAAAGAAACCCCTGACTTCCATTTTTGAAAGCTTTTTAACTGCTTCACGTAGCGAAAGCTGAAGCCCAGGAACCGTTGCTGCTAATAAAAATGTGTCTTTAACAGCTTAAGTTTGATTTCTCGACAAATATTCTGTTAAAATTCCTACAGCTGTTCCAATGCGGTACCCAAATTCTCGATATTAAATAATTACAGTTGGGGCACAATCATACTGAGGAATTGGTATAATGACATTCATAACCCCGCACAACAATTTCTGATAATTTCTGTTTCGATTACTTGGTTAGATATTCGGCTTGGATCTGTGGGCGCATTACATTTGTGCGCATTTGGGGATTAAAAAAATTTACATTTGCACGCAGCTTTTGGTTACATTTGCGCGCATTCATTTGTCAGGTAACGCAGGTAAAAATAAAGGTTATTCATAATACATATGATTATAAATTATTAATTTTCATAATAAATATGACTATAAATGATTATATTTGAAAATATTTGTTAATTTAAATTACAATATTTTTCATATTGAATTAAAAAAAAAATCAACTTGAGATAATATGTGTATTTACCTGTACTTACCTGAGATTACCTGTCAAATAAATGCGCGCAAATGAAATCAAAAGCTTTGCGCAAACGTAATGATTTTTTGCGCGCAAATGTAATGATAATGCGCGCAAATGTAATGGTAATGCGAAAATGTAATGCACCGGGATCTGTTGGCCAGACAGCGCACGCTTTCTTGCACGTATGATTGTTGTTTCAACGTCAGTTTCATCCTGATTGTCATTGGGGCCAATTTCTATTATACTATCAGAATTGTCACTGTTGCCAATTTCTATTATACTATCGGAATCTTCAATTGGACCAATTTCTATTATACTATCAGAATTGTCATTGGGACCAATTTCTATTATACTATAAGAATTGTCACTGGGGCAAATTTTTATTATTCTATCAGAATTGTCACTTGGGCAAATTTCTATTGTACTATCAGAATTTACTGGCATGCATGTATCAATTACAATTCCTGTCGGACTATTTTTGTATTTTGTAAATACGGTTTATTGTAGGTTGCACTTTGTAAATACAGCTGTTTCTCAAACCACGCCTCTTTTGGGGAGATATATAATATTCATAGATATTTCGTTTTGTTTCCGTACTGGTTCCAAGATATGATCACTATTTTTCATCTCATAGAGACATAACTTGGGAATGTTACCAGTATTAAAACATATTGTTGCGGTGAAAATTGAATTCTGAAGTGGGCACAAAGTGAAGGTAAGGGTAGTACAGAATTTTAGTATGAGTTTAAACTCTAACAAGTTCGGGGCATATAAATGTTGAAATATGCCGCACAGCCCTAAGTTTTGACCTTTGAATAAAATAGTAGTGCATATTAACTTTCCATTCTAGGATATAATTTTTTACGAAACTTCATAGTAAAAATGGCACAGTTTTAGCTGCAAAGGGAGTTCCTATTGTCCTGCATTGTCTATATTTACAGAAATGCAACCTGTACGGTAATTGAATAAACATTCTTCAATGTGTATCAACGCTTTTTTATAACAAAATTTAAATTTATAGAAAACTATAAAAATAGTCAAAAGCCTCGATAATAGGGAATAATAAAATAAATTATATCAGCAATGACCAGGTTCTCCGAAATGGTCTTTAACATTATATATTAACATGTAAGCAACATATAAATACTTGACTTATCATTTGACGTCTACGTAACCATCTGCGCTTTGTACAGGAGCGATGATAATTTCAAAACGGTTGACTTGTTTGTGACTGCAGTTTCAAAATTCTGTAGGATAACATCGGATGTTGCTGCATAGAGCATATTAAGTCCAAGTTAAATAAACCACTAAAAAATGAATCTGAATACATAACTCAGTGTCTGAAGCTATTAATTTCATCTCTCATACTAAATTGTACTCTATTTTCATTTGTAAACACAAATAAATCGTTTAATTTTTAATTTGAATTATGAATTTTCGACGATATTGTTCAAGACGTTTTTATTACAACATGTCGATTTTGTGACAGTATGCATATCTTATGTTTAAATCAGGTTTTTTGACTGCATCTTATCGATTTATTTGACATTAAAGAACTAAATAGGAATAAAAGAAGAAAGTGTCTGAGGACTCGAATGCCCCGCTCAAGCTTTGCAATTTTAAAAAGTTTAAAAGGGACATAACTATAGAACGGTAAGTGACTCACTGGCAAAATTCGAAGTCTGTCTGTTAGTTTTGGTTTTTAGCATTGTGTATAAGTTTTATGACATTTGAATGAGTAAAACTTAAGTTAGAATGCAGAAACGAAATTGAGATGACCGCAAGGACGGACGGAATGACGGTCAAGGGTAACACTAAACGTCCCCGTTGACTACGGCGGGGGAATACATATATATAAATGCACGAAATATGTATAACGTGCTACGCCATTTTATCAATCCTGCTGTCCTTCAAAATTCCAACTGTTTTCACACGGGGAGCATCGCAGATACAATTCCATATACCAAGTAAAAGAACTATCACTTAAAATGACTTCTGTAATCAATCCAAAACTTAAATCAACAGCTGCTTAAATAAACATAGAATAAAGTTTGAGACATCTTTGAAGCGCATTTCAAGGTATAAGGCATCATATTAATAAATTTGTTTCTACCCAATAACTGTGTAATATTTCGAGTTCTTTAAGATATATTCTTAAACTATGATTATATGCCGTTAGGCAAAAGAAATTTTGCAGGGGAAAGGGTATATACAGAACATATTATTCAACACTTTTCGTAAATTTGCGGCAATAATTGATAAAATTTACGTCCATAATGTCAAATGCACAATCATTTTATTTCATTCTCTTATGACAAAAACATAGGAAAAAACAATATCGCACAAAACATCTGGCATTAGAGTAAATTTGCATTTGGTAATCAATTAGAAAGGGGTGAATTGTGCTGAGCAATCATTAAAAAATTTTGGTTGTTGAATTTACAGGAAGTCTATTCCATGAATTAACTCAACAATGCCACAACGTGGGGAGGAGATTTTTCCTGCTACAAACCGAAAGACTATATCCAATGCTTATCGTTGGAGGAAAAACCCCTTTTTCGTGTTATAGATCAAGAATTTACATACATAAAATTCGACAGTCTTATAAAGTTCAACACTTGAAGGTCTGTGAACGGATTTCGTTTCGTTTGGAACTTCCAATAGCACGTTTAACACCGTCAATCGATAGTGACAATGTATTTCCAAACTAGACGTTAAAAAAAAACTTAGTAAATTTCGGACGCAATAAATTTATAACGTGTTGTTTTGATTTTTTACAGCACTGGGTCGATACTTCTGCTGGTTGACTATCAGTCCCCGAAGGTATCATCAGCTCAGTAGTCAGTACTTCGGTACTGACATGATTAATAACAAACCTTTCTAAATGTGTCCGTTTATAAATTTTGAAATTAAAAAAAAAAACTAATGTTTCAACTCCCTCAGGCAAAGTTGGCCTTAGAAGTATTTGGCTACTATTTTATGTCATTTTTAGTTATATGGCTTATCAACTGTTTCGGTTTTATACATCTTTGACGTTCAAAAATTCGGCTTTGAGCGTTCCTGATGAAGGTAAATCCAGAAAAGCGCATCGGACGCATTAAATTGATAACGTGTTGTTTTAATTTTTTGAAACAAAGTCAATTGATTTATCTGAAATATCCATATTCAAATATAAGCAGCAGAAATCGGACAGACAAATACCCTATGCATCAAATCTTTCCATCATTAATCGAAGTTGTGCATTCTATTTGTTTGATCTGGATGATCTAAAGAAGGTACGTTTTTAATATTCGAACGGAAGTATGAGATCGATATCAATAAACCTGCCTTTGCTTATTAACTTACCCTGATTAAAGCAGTACATCTTGGCAATGGGAATTTTTTCTTAAAATGCAGATTGACAGTTAAACGTCGATCCGTTTCGTTTGTATGAACAATAGCTCTAACCTCATTTGCTGGAGGATCTAAAATCATCAGATAATTCAGTTGTGAAAGTTTGTTTGGCCTTTTAAACGTTCATTCTGTTATTTTTTCATCTACTTTTATATATCAACACGTTTAGATATTTACAAATCTGTTTTAATCGAAATTTCCTGCAAGTCATTTCTAAATGAGGATGTTAAATTTGATGTATGCCTTTTTGTGCTTCTTCGTTACATTTGTTTGTTTTTATAGTGATTAAGATGATAACACAATGTTTAGTGCTGTACCCCTATTTTTGACATTTTACCTATTGTGTCTGTTTGTTTTGTTCACGCATCGTTGTCAATATAATGAAATTTGATGCGACTGTCATACAAGTGAGAGGTTTAGCTAGCTATAAAACCAGGTTCAATCCACCATTTTCTACATAAGAAAATGCCTGTACCAAGTCAGGAATATGACAGTTGTTATCCATTCGTTTGATGTGTTTGTTTTTTTGATTTTGCCATTTGATTGGGGACTTTCCTTTTTGAATTTCCCTCGGAGTTCAGTATTTTTGTGATTTTACTTTTTTCTAAAATGAAAAAAGAAAAAGGTACCGGTCCTATTATTAAACAATTTTAGATATTATATTCTGCTGATATTTATTAGCTAGTTTGTCCTTTTTTCATGGCATCGCGAAAAATGTTTATTAAGGGAAAATAGGATTGTCATTTAGGAACAACTACATTGAAAAGTGATGTTTTTTACATTTATTAATGATTTTGAAAAAAACTGACATACGGTTTTTTTAGTTGAGGCGAAATATTTGAAATTATATTACAATCGAACGATTACTTCTAAATGTCGATTTTGTTTGCTTTGATAGATTAATGTTTGCTCTCTTATTGATTTTCATCCAACACCACTTTTTATACATATATGTATATACCCCCACTTATTGCAATACGATCTACGATAAAATATAAAATTATGTCTATTTACATACATTCTAAGTCATCCTTCGAAGATTGTATGCTCTTTGCCTGTGCTTCGAAGCCGTACCGGCATTGGTACTTGCAGTTTACATCCGACTCGGTTACATTTCTAATATGCAGTATAAATTGGTTCCCATATGGCAATGTCTCTGTGTACTTAGAAGAATCAATAGGATGACCATTGTAACAGATCAGATCTGGCCCTTTAGACCACTGTCTCGTCAGTTTATCATTAATATTGTCTATGCCATGAACTGTGCACGTAATGTTTATATTCTGGTGTATGTGTACTATTTCTGGTTGGACATTCAGTGTTACTAAAATTAGTTAAAAATTAAGACTAAATAACGGGCTTAATGCATGTTGATATCCCATTTTACAATTGGTTTTTATTTGTTTATACGGTAAACTTTATTTTGCACAATTGGCTATTGTCGTTCCTATAAGTTTGATTTCGAAAATTATAAATGGAATTTTATGCGACGGTTGTACTGTGAGAGGTTAAGCTAGCTATGAAACCAGGTTTTATCCACCATTTTCTACATACGAAAATGCCTGTAACAAGTCAGGAATATGATAGTTGTTATCCATTCATTTCATGTGTTTGAGCTTTTGATTTTGCCATTTGCTTATGTACTTTCCGATAAGAATTTTCATCGGAGTTCGGTATTTTTGTTATTTTATTTTTTAAGAATCTAATGCATGATCCTTAAGAATGGATCAGAACAGCAATCTGATTTCGCCAGTGAAAACTTTAAAAAATCAAACCTTTTTGTTCAATTACACCAGGTTGGCTCAAAGTGTATCTGGAGGAGAAAGCAATCTCCAATATCTTAATAGATTTTATCATAACTATGTAATGCAATCAGCGTGAAATCGAAGGGTATACAACATATAGCCAATTAAGTGCACTTATGTTGATAAAATACAGCCTAGATTAAGTACTAAAATGTCTTCTATGGCATGCGTAACACAAACTGGCACTTTTAAGCAAAATATATAACAGATGTTTTTATCTTGTTAAAGAAATGCATAACAGGATAGTTATTATCAAAATGACATTTAAAATACATGCAGACACTACAGCGTCTGGATAGTTGGACATACTTAATACATTTTAATATATTAATTTGATCGTTTTCTTAATGTTTAGACGTTAAGTAGTTTACCTCAAATACGATATTCGTACAGTGTTGGAAAAATATAATTTATTTAACGAGCTTAAGAAACAGAGAGAACTTTTCCTCTGAATCGTAGCGAGTACAAATAAATTTTATACTTTCCTACACTGTACCAATATTGTATTCATCCTTCAATTCAACATTGAGCTTAAACGTATACTATGCAGTTGTTTTCAAACCCAATCGTAGATTATGTTATTGAATGAAATCGACAAGACTATCATGTTAACGCGGACCGCAATGAGGAACCAAAATTTAACTGTGATGTAAACAGCAATTTCAATGTAACTATTCGCTCGATAAAAAAGCAGGATACCAGTAGACTATAATATAAAGTTTAACGTATAATATGAGGGTATCGCTTCGTGGTATCTGTACACATTTATTTGTATAATAGAAAACTCAATTTCAAGATAAACATGAGTCACTTCGTTGGTCGTTTGTATGTACTACAGATGTGTTATGTTGTAGCCGGGAACTTGCAATCAAAGCTGATATCAGATGAGCATGGATAGATCATCGCTCGTTTAATTCTTTGTTTATTTAAACACAGCACATAAACAGTTATTATAGTACATGAAATTCAATATAACTCATAGGTAGAAAATATAAAATCGATTTGTTTTCTCATTTTAATCTACTATTTTTACTCAGTAAAATGGATTTATAACACTTGTGACTGCTTTCATTTAGTTTTTGGAGGTCTTTTCTCGATTGCAATGACAATGCTGTTGTAGGATTATTTAAACGTATTATCATTGTAATTTAATTATAAATGCTAGCTTGCAATTAATAACATACCATATGTATGTACTGTAGAAATCTCAAAATTCAATAATGCAACCACTGAGAAGAAGCAAGATTTATATGCAAGAAGTAGAATGATGTCCATTTTGCAAATAACCTATAAAAAATATAGATACATAAAACATGTGTTTGTTTCAAGGCACTTATAGAAGATTCAAATATCAAACGTTATATTAGACATAATATTAGATAAATGTTTAAAATTGTCAATTGATAGTCTAGAGTTGAGGCCTTTAAATAGGTTCATCTCAAAAGTATTTATTTACTTTAATTATGGATTGACTCGGAAAACTAATAGCTTTTTTAACATTGTTTCCAATTAATATAAAAACTTTGTGAGTGAAGTCATTCCATATTTTCTCACATGATTATTTGTTGTGTGGTTAGATGATAGAATCTTTGCCAATCATAATTTTAAGTTCTCGATATAGATTGGTTGGTAGGCTAATTGATTGATCGATTGAAACTTTGCATAATGTCATATTTGACGAATTTCGCATTCCTTATCAATTGATCGGTTTGGATCGTTTGCCGGTTTCAAGATTTAATGATTGACATTTTCACCGCATATGTCATATTGATTGTTACTGTAATGTCCAGTTACAAGTATTCAACGCACTATCTTTACTAACAGGATAAGAAATGTCCCTCGCCTCCAAATAATGAAACAGGCCAGGAATCAATTCTTCCATTAAAATTAAACTAGAAACAAGCACATAAAGAAGTAGGGCCCGGATCCCCTTCAATTAATGATTTAAAAGTCTTATGAAACTTCAAAATTTAAAAAAAAAGTTGAACATGTTTTATATACTTGAATGGCTAAGCTTTATTTATAAGAAGTGAACGTGAACTTTTTTTCGAAAAAAAACCTCAATATTATCAAAATCTTCATAAAGGTACCGATACTGTTTTATTTGCTTCCCAGACACTAATTCGCCGATATTTTTCCGTATGCAGTGACCTTAACTACGATACCTCTCGTTATAGCTTCGGCCAACGCACAGCGCAAGTGCGAGATGAAAACCTTGATGAAAGCATGTAAAAAGGTAAATAGAAATAACAGATTCTTAAAGAACAGATTTTAAACAACAAATCATTTAACCACTGTCAAGGAATAGTTTAATTAAAACATGGGAACCCATGGAAAACATAAAAACAAATGTAATGGTTCTTTCAGTTCACTTATCTGTTGCACTTTCCACGTGCTTTGTTTTTATTGTTTATCAATATCAATATCACGATCCGGTAAACTTCGGCAACAAACTCGCAAGCTAATTAGCTTGCGGTCAACAACCACTGAATGAAATATTATTTGTCGATGATAAGTTATAGATGTGTAATAAATATAAAAAAACGTGCATGCAAGACTTAGTTTAGTACATATGTATGCATTGGTTCAATTGTTTCGATAACATTAAAATTTCAAGAAACTCGTTTCATATGACTTTAAAGTCAGTGCAATATGTTTATTTGTATCAAAATTGTGATATTTCTAGGAACATACAAATAGTTTACGCGCTCTTCGTGTCATCTTCAGAAAAGTATTCTTGTATTTTCCTTTATAAACGGGAATATGTTCGGATTAAAATCCATTCTAACAAAATCTTTGAATTTTCCTTTTTTTTTTATTTTGAAAGGGATCGTCGGAATTAATATTTCATACATTTTGTTAATTATTTTCATTACAATTAAATTCCAACCTAGATTTTAACTTTTTTTTTTTTTTTTGTATACGTTTTATATTAGTCTAACATTCCATCGTATACCCTTTTTTCCTTATCAAAGGCGATCTTCTCTGAGTATCTAATGAAAGGAATTGTACCCGTCCTGTTTGTTTTCGAAGGAAGACCTTTAACATGCCTCTAAAATCATGTTATATTTAAAAATTATGTAATGACTTCCATTATCAACAGTCTGTGTGCCAATTCCCGTAATTGACCCTGTAATTAGTGATCCCTTTTTAAGTTGTGTCTCTTAGGAGGGACATAAATTTGTATTGACAATGGAGAGCTAGTGGACAGAACAAATGTATCTGTACGTAATGTGTGTAACTTTTAAGTTTTACATTTTTAATTAGAGTTAATTTGTTGTTAAGCTACAAAATTTTGAAACCAGAAGATATCTTCCCCTAAAATTTGTTAACACGCCGACACATCATTTTAAACAAATCATGCTTTGCGTGGGAAAAGCCAATTTTGTCCGGTATAGAACAAGTCTACGATTGATAAAAGGGAAGTAATTTGTTTAACAGAATCAAAACGGTAATAGGCAAACGGACTATTGTTTGCTAATACAGCCTTTTTCTAGAACAGTTATTACTAGTATATAGTTTATACGTAGCAAAGCTATAATCAATGTGCCGAGAAAATTAAATCTAAAATTCATACTTTTGAGATAATCCCTTATTTTAATGTCTCAACTCTAGACTCTCGACTCTAAATTGTTAATTGTAAAAATTTATCTTACATGTCTATTATATATGTAATAAATTACATATATCAAGTAGAGTTATCACATGTCTTTCTGGTCAAGGTTACTGTTGAATAAATAAAATAGGTAAGTATGCCCATAATATTGATATAATTTACAAGTTAGACCTTAGTTTGTGATCGCTCATATTTCTTTTAAAAGAGATTCGTGTTATTCTTGTTTTGTGTTTTTTTTTTAATTTTCCAATGTCTGTGTTGTTTATATCGGTAAAAGTCTATCCTTTGTCATAACAACTTTTTTCAATTCAAAATCTCACATTCGTTCAAATTTCAGGGTACGAAATTTTACCTGACCGATGATTTATGAATTTGGCGATGTCTTTTCGTAAGTTAAGAGTCAATAATCAATCTGTTATTGCGTGTTATAGGAGTAACGGGTGGCACATTTGGAGTAGGATATGCTAATCCTTCATGAGCACCTTAGATCATACCCACTTTTTGATGAGGTTCGTGTTGCTCAGTCTTTAGTTTTCTATGTTGTGTTTTGTAAACTGCTGTTGGTCTTTTGGTTGTTTTATATTTTAGTCATGGTATTGTCAGTTCGTTTTCGACTATTAACTTTTATTCAATAAATAAAATAGCTTTTTAATTATTTAGATCGTTGTTGGCACTGCCAAAAGGGAGATAACCCTAATTTATCACTGAATATTTTGTACTAACAATGAATAAAATGGTTACAATGTACTATAAATCGAGTGACATTGGGGAAGTCACTTGTAAAGGCAACATGCCATAGAAATAAAAATAGCTAGCTATCTGTGATTTAGTTGTTATATCATTTGATATGTTTTCTCCTAAAATATATTATGAATAATGTTTCGTACTAGCACACATTTGTCTTTAAAGGCCTTTTATTAAGGACCAGGGATTCTTTTTTTTTCCATTTTGTTCAAATCTAAAATGGAATCATTAAGTATGAAAAAAACATACTTAACGTAGGACCTTATATATTACGTGCGGCAAAATCATAAATGGATATCGCGCTCCTATTAAAATATGCTGAAGTTTTTCCCAAAAACAATTTATTTAAAGCGTCATTGAGGAAAATATTTGCTTAAAATAATATTGTTGGCAATGGCGCTATCATTAAGTACTTTGCATTCAAATAGTGCAATCTATGGTGTACGGGGTGTAACTTTTGATATCATTTAATATTAAAAGCATAGGCTTTATTGGAACAAAAACTGTCCGACGGACACGCACGAAAGGAGAACTTTTGGAAAAATCAATGTTTTTGCAACATTTTCCATGTCTTTTTATGCTACACTTCAGCAAGTCCGCGTGGATGTACAGAATTGATTTTTTTTTCAATGTTTCTAGTAAATTAGTGATAACTTAATCCAAACACCATTACACCATTGCAACTTACACGTTTTATTTGAGACGTGTTCAATATATGATGGCTGTAGTTGTCTAATATCTATAAATTCGGAATGTCTTACGGTAAAAAAAGAGAATATATTGTAGAAATTACGTATTCCTTTCAAGAATAACATGACTAAATTAATGTCGCTAGTGAAACAAGCATGAATTCTTAACCTCGTTATTTATTAGGGTTCGTTTTGCTCACTTTTTGTTTTGTTGTGCAGTGTTGTGTATACTTTGATGGCTTTGACTTTTATACCTAAGTTTTCAATTTTGGCCATAGTTTTGTCTGTTTTATTCGACTTTTGGTTTTATTGCACTAACTAACACTAGCTAGTAAACGAATGTTGATCTGAATCGCTCATTTTGATCTAAACAGATATTAAAAAACTGAACAATAAAAATTATGGTAATTTCAGTCTTAGAATAGTTAAAGAACTTATCCACTGCCACTGCGGTTAATTCCGTACTGTTCAGTCAATTTAGATCTGTTCAGTCTATGTGTAGACTTTTCAGTAGTTGATATTTACCTGGTTATTTTTGGTATAGTCTCTCTCTTTTTGAATCTCAATAATAGATAGGACTTCAAAGGCTGAAAAAGTTATGATCTATCTAATTTCCATTTCGATCTAATAAACAATAAGACGACTCCAAGTAGAACATGTTTTGAGTTATTGTCCGTTATCTACAAAAACAGAAAGTGTAAATATGCAACAATGACCAGCAACTACTAGGCAAGAAGCCTAAAAATAGTAATCGACTCCTCATATGAGACTAATTGCCAAAAAATAACGATTTTATTGTTTTCCCTGTTTGTAGGCAGGTTAGTCCCCGAGAGTATCACAAGCCCAGTACCCAGTACTTCGGTACTGGCATTAAAATACGGATGTTGTTCTATTCATATTTTCTCCGATTCCTTGTTTGTGTTTGTCTTTACTTTTGTCATTTTTCGTTATATAAGCTCTTCATAGTTTGTATTATATTTTGGTCTCGAGCATCACTGAAGAGCCATACATTGCATGTCGAAATGCACATATAGTGCATTTCAATTCAAAACATAAATAGCTACACTGTATCAGCAAAACATAATCTACAAATAAACCGATGAATACATGTATGACTGAGACCAGGACAATTTTTAGTGTTTTGTATAACTGTAACAAATACAGAGGAACAACATTATCAACTAAAGTTAAAAACAAAACAATAAAATTGCCAATATGGTTGAAACCCTGCATTCACTCCATATAGGAGATATTCCCTTGAATTACTTTTTTTTTATCAATTTTAGCATTTCTGCTAAAGAAAATGTGAATAAAATGCGTTAGAGTTATCCTTCTTTAAGTGGTTAAGAATATGATACCTTTAAGCTGATTATTGATATCTGTAATTTGAGTTTTCAACAATAATTTAAACTGCAAGGAATAGATCTAGTCCAATTCGGTATCAAAACCAGACTAAAACATCATTTCGTAGATGTTTTATTACAATGGGTTTTGTCCTAATAAGACCCAGTGTCCCACTAATGGAGTCGTTTGTCATCTTTATAACAAAATGGGACATTCTTTTCTAAAGCTTGTCTATCTACAAGAAGAATGCAAACACTATAGAGAGTTTCTTGAATATTCTAGTTTGGTTTTCTTTCCTGTGTTTGTTTCCGGCCTTCTACCGTGAGCCTCCCCTAGACTCTTCTTGAGTGCATTGCAATTGTTTGGATTCAAACATACCAAAAACGAAGGCACTGATTATTGTATATAAGATTTCCAAACTGTTTACCTAACTACATGAAGCTTTTAGCTCACAATTTAACTTTCACATGTGTATGTTTGAATGTGTGTTCGCTTCTATTAATAACATATATATTGGATTTTATAAATAAAGATTCCTTTAAAAAGTACTCATTAAAATGGTATTGTTATTTCTTCAATATTGCATTCTTCCAGCAATTACATACATATGTGGCACTTTGAACGACATACATATTTACAAATTATTAAGTTTAGTTTAGTTTAAAATAAATGGGTTATTTAAAAATATGAAATTGTTTTAATGTGTTTTTCGTTTTCATTGTCTATTTGTATTTTAAATTAGTAACAGTGGTTTCAAGAGGTTATGTTTACTAGCAATGAGCAGTATACTATCGAAGTCCGTATACTTAACAAAATACTTCTCATTAAACGACATCTTGAGAAAAAAAATGCGTGCAAGAAATAAATTTGGCAGAAGAAAAAAATACTGATAATCAGAATGCAATAGGGTTTCCACTAAAAATATTTGGCTAACCATGTCCCTGTGGTATGAGTATCGAATATGCCCCGAAACTATGTCAGTTTTTAACAATATTATATGACCTCAAACATATATCAAAATTTGTCACTGTTAATATTTAGAATAAGTGTGAATACTTATTGAAATGAGACACTCGCTTTTACATACAAACTTAACGGAGCAGAGAAAGATATGATATAAATTATATTGAGATATTAATAGTGGTATTAGATATTAGATTCTGAAGCGTTGAGAGGTGAACATAATGTGATGCGCTCTGAATACTTTTCAGTCGATTTATTAAAAAGCAAGACATATTTTAATGTATGTACATTTGGTAACATATCATGAATTTTAAAATGATTATTTCTGTGTAGTATTTATTTTTAGAATCTGTGCATATCACATATCATTGGTTCCTTTTAACGCAGCACCACAAATGTTCTGTTTATTAGAATATAAAAAAGAAGATTGTATAATAAGAACTGATGAAATTTATAGTTACATGCTTTACGTCCAGTTGCAAATATTCCATGCATGTTATATTAACAATAAATACAATATGTAGGTTCTGCAAGATGAGAGTCGTCGACCGGGATGAAGGACAAAACATTGTGACTGACACTAGAAAACGAGGGTATGTTAGATAGGAATAGACATTTTACCTTGCAACAGCCCACCTTTAAACGTACCACTCAGTGAGTTGTTATAAGGGTTCTTGAACGCCCAGATGCCATGGTATCCTCTCTACGCGAGACTTCAAACTTGGCTACGTATTTATACATCTCGTAAAGCCAACTGTACGCCTCACTTTGACAAGACTGCCGGTCGGAGGAAGACCAAAGGGTGACTATATTTATTCAACCCAATAAACCATTTAGGTCAGAATTTTTGACATGGTCATTACTGTGTCATATTCTTTATCATAATTTATTGAGGGAAACAGTTTGGTGTAATGAAAAAAATATAATGTACTAAATGTACTCTGAATATTGTATTTGTTTTGTGTTTTTTAACAATCCTACATATATGCGGATTTTATACTAATACAATTTCTCGTTCTGTGTGTATAAGATGTATTAAGCGTACGTACTGATCCTATTTTGTATTAGTGAAGAGTTAAGCATTACATTTTGTAAACTCATAACAATATTTGCAATACCTGTTTAAGATTAATTCTATGGGCAATCCGTTCGGTCGAATAACTATTTATAATTTTATTGATATCTATATCTGTTACAATCTTGTTGATTCTTTTATTGAGATATTGCATAATAATGTATAATATAAAAATAAGGAGATGTAGTATGATTGCCAATGAGACAACTATCCACCGAAGTTCAAATGGAGTGCATGGATGTAAGCAATCATAGGCAACCGTACGGCCTTCAACAATGAGAAAAACCCATACCGTATAGTAGGCTATAAATGGCCCCGACAAGAAAAATTCAATTGAGAAAACTAATGGCCTAATTTATAACAAAACGATCGAGTTACGAAAAAAACAAATATGGCAGACATGCATGAACCAAGGACAACCACTGAACTACATGCTTCTGAAATGGGACAGGCACACGCGTTTAAGTAAAACAAATCATATGTTTCCCCAGTACGGTATATGTGCATCACATATTAAGTTTCTCTGTCTGTTGTGTGCAGGCTATATATAAATAATTACCCTAAAAAAGTAAAATTTTCTATTTTCAACATGTGACCTTTGGCGGATAATACAGAAAAGATGGTTTTCTGTCGTATTTTTTATTGTAAATACCATTGTTCTGATCTCCGGGGGGGGGGGGGGGGGGGGGGGGGGCACTTCAATCATTTTTTGGTAGGGGTGAGCAGCTGAGACATCAAGTACCCCACCCTTTTCATATATTTTGTTTATTAAAAATATATACCTTGTCATATATCAATTAACAAAAAACAGACCTCTGGTACATTAGTATGGATCATTTTTCCTTTTTAGGTCCCGCTCATCATCACGTTCATATTTAGAAGCAACGCAATCACAATAATCACACCAGTGACCTTGGTTTTCCATTAAATTTGTCACATCTTAAACACTTTCGAATCCTCTATTTGCCCCTTTTATATCTTTCGTTTTGAAGAAATTTCAATTTCAATAGACAATAAAATATGTTTGGTCAGATAAATGTAGTAACACCCCAGAGAGTAACACTTTCACTGAATTTTATATTAATGAAAAACTGATAAAAAGTTACATTGCCGTTCCCTCTTAAAGGACGCTGACCATATGGAATTTCTTTAAATAATTGTTATCATGTTTCATTTATACAAACCTCTGAATGTTCATTAGGTGCAAATGTCAAAATGATCGGATTTATAGCATCTATAACTTACATCAGTGGAAATACCACATTGGAATAAATAGAGTTTAATTGGTTTGACAAATAGATAAGATAAGATATATTTTATTACCAATTAAGGGCCCACGAGGGGCATATATAGAATACAAGTATAAGAAAAAAGAGCATTGATTAGCATAGATATATAGAGTTTACATACACAATTACGATACAATTAGACTGTAAAAAAACCTTGGTTTGTAGTATATGATATATTTATATGAGAAATAATTACATCTAACTCATATTGACTTGAATAAACAGCATTAAGAACCTGATTATCTTCACAGCTTAATAAATATATGAATTTTTGCTGATTGTTTAGTGAAGTAAAGTTAGGTATTTTATGGCAAACAAAGTCAAAGAGAGCATCTCTATCAGAGTTAAATTTTTCACATGAAGTTAAAAAATGGATTTCATCTTCAAGACAGCCAGAGGAGCATATTTGCAAATTCTTTCATTTCGTGGAATATTAGAAAAACGACCAAATTTAATTTGAAGCTTATGAACAGATATACGTAATTTACAAATAGCTCTTCTAAAATCAAAGTTCTTAACCAAAGAGAGATTATTTTCATAGCCAAAATTTTCCATCAGAAGCATTTTTTTGGCTAACATACCAATTTTAAATTTATTTAGTGTGAATTAATTTGTTAGAGTATATTCAAAAATTTATATTGTCCAAAATGTTTTACTTCTTGTTTAATTTCAAAAACTTCTAATAATTTCTTAACAAATGAGAACCAAGAAGTTATGTTAGATCTGTGAAGCTCTTGGCTGCATTTATAAGCGTCTTTCAACAGACTGAATTCAGTCTGAAGATTTTCAAATCTATACCCGTATTTAACAATTGACTTTACAATATCATAATGTAGGGGGAAACGCCCCAGTTCTGATAATACAGCAAAATTAACAGTTCTTTTGTGTACACCGAGTATAAATTTTGAGAACTTGAGATGAAGTTTCTCACACTGAAGATTTTTATAAATATTTTCAAGATTAATAGCTGATGCATTTACAACAGTGGCTTAACTGCA